AACTCTATAAATCCAAAATATTATGTCTATAACAACTTTCATAAAGAGAAAATAATGTTCAAATAATATGTTGGAGATGTACAAAACCATATATAGGCACTAATTTGTTCAACTATGAACATACATTCCCATGTTTCCCTGCTGCTTCAACTTTTCTTGGCCTGCAATGAAATCTCCTACATCTCTGTATATAAATGCTATCCATACTTTAAGGCACATTTCAACTACATCCATCATTCACAGTGTGTCAACTTCGCTTTTAGGCTGGCTTCCTGCAAGCCAAGATGGCTTGCTGCTGCAGTTCCAGACCTGGCAATGTCCAGTGGCTGAAAAAGGGGACCAGCTCTTTTACTGTCTTCTTAAAAGCAAATAAACTGTTCCGCAAAGTGCTTCATCAGATACTTTTACATTCCTCTAGGCTAAAGTGGAGTCAGACATCTACCCCATAACCAACCAATCCCTATTGGCTTAGGCCAGTAGGGATTTATCCCTCAGCTGAAGATGGGTTTACCTTTCCCGGATCGTAGAGAGAGAGATGGACACTGAGCAAGATCAGAATCTGTTTGCATAGAGCATGTGAAAGGTAACAGTGAATAGGCAACCAACGGGGGCTGCTTCAACACTTAAGGCATTTAGCTTTGTAATATAGTTCTCTATATACTGCCCTTTCCCATTTATTTCTAAGCTCTTTGAGAAAAGCTTATACATCCTATACATCTTCCTATTTCTCAGCACTTAACCCAGTGCCTTCCATATAATGTGACTTCATTTTTCACTTAGATTTTTAAATTTCCCAAGGTGAATTTCACATTGGATAGGTATTTTTGAAATTACTTATGATACTTTGGATTTATAAAATATTTTCTTCTATGACCAGGTGCAGTGGCTCAGCCTGTAATTCTAGCACTCTGGGAGGCTGAGATGGGAGGATTGCTTGATGTCAGGGGTTTGAGACCAGCCTGAGCAAGAGCGAGACCCTGTCTCTACCAAAAATAGAAAAATTAGCTAGGTGTTGTGGCATGTGCCTGTAGTCCCAGCTATTTGGGAGGCTGAGGCAGGAGGATCACTTGAGCCCACGAGTGTGAGGTTGCAGTGAACTAGACTGATGCTATGGCACTCTGGCCCAGGCAACAGAGAAAGACTCTGTCTCAAAAATAAATAAATAAAATAAAATAAAATAAAATATTTTCTTCTAAAACTTCAAGAGATTTCTATAAATATTTAATTTTATGCTTACTTTTATACTCTAGAAGGAAAGAACTACTGTGTACAATCTTCACTACAAATGAAGAAACTTATTTGCTGGTTTGTTCAAAGTCTTACAGTCAACAGGCACAAGAAAATCTAGATTTTCCGAATCCAGCCCAGAGCTATTTTCACATGTCCACATTGCCTTTAAACAGACCCTTCCTCCTTTACCTGAAATATTCGAGTAACCCATCAATACATGTAATTTTTATTACTGATCATGCTTTTTTTTCCTTTTCTCCCCCTCTCTCCCACCAAATTAACCCTGATTGTAAAACTGTTCTTGGCCGGGCGCGGTGGCTCACGCCTGTAATCCTAGCACTCTGGGAGGCCGAGGCGGGTGGATCGTTTGAGCTCAGGAGTTGGAGACCAGCCTGAGCAAGAGCGAGACCCCCATCTCTATTAAAAACAGAAAGAAATTACTTGGACAACTAAAAATATATATAGAAAAAATTAGCCAGGCATGGCGGCACATGCCTGTAGTCCCAGCTACTCAGGAAGCTGAGGCAGGAGGATTGCTTGAGCCCAGGAGTTTGAGGTTGCTGTGAGCTAGGCTGACGCCACGGCACTCTAGCCCAGGCAACAGAGTGAGACTCTGTCTCAAAAAAAAAAAAACAAAAAAAACTGTTCTTGTTTGGAGGTCATAATCTGCAGGCTGACGTAGGAAAGAAAATGTGAAGGTTATGAGTTCAAAACATTCTAGTCCTAAAGAACAAGGTTATTCCTGTGAACAAGGCTAGGGTTGACGTCACAATGCAACTTTACTGGCCTTTTCAAAGAGAATTGATGGGTATTTTGTTCCTGAATTTAACACCTACTCATCCACTTTTTCTTTCTTTTTTCAGATGAGCTGAAACAGTATGATAAATCTGGAATTAAAAGAATATTAAGATGATCCCCTTCAACTACAGGTAACTGTTATTTACCATACAATCTGGGAAATTTAAACTTAGTCCTTGCAGTAAGTGAGGTGGGGTGGTCTATACACTGAGAGGCCCACTATAGGACCCTGCTATCTTACAGACCCAACCTGTCTGTTGTGTTTTTTTATTTTTTTCTGAGACAGTCTCACTCTCTTACTCTGTTGCCTGGAGTAGAGTGCAGTGGCACCATTGTAGCTCACAGCAACCTCCTGGACTCACTTGATCCTCTTGCCTTAGGCTCCCAAGTAGCTGGGACTACAGACACACAGCACCACGCCCAACTAATTTTTCTATTTTTTAGTAGAGATGGTCAGGCTTTCTTGCTCAGGCTGGTCTCAAACTCCTCAGCTCAGGCAATCCTCCCACCTCGGCCTCCCAGCGTGCTAGGGGTGAGCCACCGTGCCTGGCCCCAACCTGTCGTTCTTGGGGAGGCATCATTTGAGTGTCATTTGTCCTAGGTCTCCCTGTATGTAGTTCAGCTGGAGTGTCCACACTCTGAAAATCCAGAATCCGAAATGCTCCAAAATACAAAACTTTTTGAGCACTCACATCATGCAACAGTGGAAAATTCCACACCTGAACTCATGTGATGGGTCACAGTCAAAACTGTTTCATGCACAAAATTATTAAAAATATTGAATAAAATTAACTTCAGACTATGTGTATAAGGTATATATGAAACATAAATTAATTTCATGTTTAATCTTGGGTCCTATCCCCAAGATATCTCATCATATATATGCAAATATTCTAAAATCCAAAAAAATTTTAAATCTGAAACATTTCTGGTCCCAAGCATTTCAGATAAGGGATTCGCAACCTGTGTAAGAATTGGTGATCTGCACATCTGTCTCCATTGCTAGACTCTAAGCAACTTATGGTGAAGGACTGGGCCTTGTCATACTTGTATGTCAGTGCCTACCATATAGTGGGGCTTTATGAATATTTGTTGAATGAATAAATCTTTTGATTTCTAGGAGCTAGTGCTGGGAGGACAGAATTAAGTCCTTAACTCTTGAAGAGTTACCAGTCAATACATCTTCCAGAAAGGACTTTTACTTAAATGCAAACCAACTTCCTGTTGTCAAATCCCTGTATGCCTCGTTCTGTGTCACTGACAGTTATTCAGCTACAGAGCCACTCAACCAACCTCCCCTCTATTCTCAGCATCCATCTTTGGAGGCTGTCTGTGACATGGCCCTTCTCTCAGCATTCTCAATACACCTTTATCTAGGGACATCTGATGTTTTCTTCTCTTGGAAATCATGCTACTGTACGAAATCTTTCCTCTCTGAACTGTCTTCTCATCTGGTATCCCAAGACTTCCCTCATTCCAGATCAAAGATTTAAGGTTTCTAAGTAGGAAACAAAGTTTGCCAAAATTGCTGTGATTTCTTGACTTGAGAGAACACTTAAAACTTGCAACAAAGGAAATTTGGAATCCTATGAAATGTAAAACTCCCACCATCTATTGAGAACTATTAATTTCCTCCTCCTGCTTCTGACTTGCAAAAACATGAGCTAATTTGGTTTGCCTAATGTATAATACCAGATGTCCATGCTCCATCTCAGATGATTAACATCTGTGTCTTTTATCTATGCAAACTTGTCTTTGAAAAGGTCCTTGGCTTTGAAGTCCGCGGATGGCTTAAATAACATTTGACACTCAAACTCCCAGTCTGATTTCAGATTACGTCTATTTCATTCAGGTTCTGTGGACTATCCCAGACTGCTGGCCTGTTTTCTACCTTGCTTTGTGAACTAAAATAAAACCTTAAGGCTCACCCCCCACCGGCTGACTGAATGGACCCCCTCGTGGCCAAAGGGAACATCCTAAAACTAAATTGCCTGTCAGGAGGAGGGAGGTCAGATATGTCTCATCATGTCCCCCTCCCTTCTTGGGGACATCCTTTGTAACTCATTAACAGGCCTAAGGATATGCAAGACAAACCTGCAGATCTTCAATTTACACAACAAATATATGTCCGGTGGCTTATCTCTGATAAAGAGCTCCTTAAATTAGAACATTTCAAGCCTTTAGACAAAGCTTCATGTCTTTAACCAATTACAAGTCAAAGAATCTTTAAACCCACCTATAACCTGTAAGCCCCCGCTTCTCGATGGCCCACCTTTTCGGGCCAAACCAACGTATGCCTCCCACATACTGATTTATGACTTTACCTGTAACCCTTGTCTCCCTGAAATGTATAAAACCAAACTGTAACCCGGCCACAGCAAGTCCACTTGCTCAAGACTTCTTGAGCGTGGCTCTGTGTCATGGTCCTCAAATTTGGCTCAGAATAAATCTTTTTAAAATTATTTTACAGAGTTTGACTTTTTTTCCGTTGACAGCTTCGCTAGGCGTATTTTGGGACAGAATTAAGTATTTGCTTGCACATCAGTTTACTGAAAAGGTCGCCACTGCCCAGACTGTCCTTCCACTGTTAACTGACCAGAGCCCACGGAAGGGCACCAACGTGTTAGGCAGGCCATGCGCACTGCCGCAGCTGTCACACACGATCACGACCTTCCGCACCAGCCCGCAGACTTCCCAAAGACGCTCGTGCCTTCCCGTGCCTCCTTCCCTCCAAGTCGCCGCCAGAGCCTCCCCGGCTGTAGCCCGTCAGCCCTCTCCCCCGCCTAGCCCAGCCTTCCCTGGACTGCTTGCTTCCTGTCCTCCCGTCCTGCCCCGCGCGGGCTGCGGCAGTTCCGTCGGCTGCCGCCCCTCCCCGGCGCCCAGACCTAGAGCGCCGCTCCGCCCCGCCCCCTGCGCAGGCAGTCATCCCCTTACATCCGGGTATCGACTCCAGCCGCCCAGACGCTGGCACTATGGTCATGGCGGAGGGGACGGCAGTGCTGAGGCGGAACAGGCCGGGCACCAAGGCACAGGTACCATCTCCCCACTTTTTCTGCCGCACAACTCTCAGTGCCGAGCCGTGCTGCGCCGGGAAGCTGGCCGCCACTGAGTGGCGGTCGGGCTGGGGCTGCATGCGGGCGGGGGCACTGGTGCCCGGCCTGCTCTTCCGGAGCCGCAGCCCCTCAGTTTGGTTGAGGCGGCCGTCGGCGCGAGGCCTGCGGAGCTCTGTCCAGGGGGTGGGCGTGAGGGGCGGGTGGGGGCTGCGGGAGATGTCCGCTGAGGCCCAGGGCTGCGAGCCTGTAAGCAGAGACTGCTTGTGCTCGCCCTACCCCTGAACCCCAGCTGACTAGCTTTAGAGGGGCGCGGCCAGCCAGGTGGAGACCCCTGGGGTTTCCCGACGGTCGGGGTAGGAGGAGGTGTAAACACAGCCTACCGTGTCCCGGCTTCCAGTTCCTACCTGGCCTGTGAAGTACTGCCCGGGTCCTGCCAACTGGCTTGTCTAGCCGGATCCGGGTGGGAATAATTGACTTTATCCTCCTCCTCCTGTTGTTTGCTTTTGACCACCTCTCCCTGCTGCGTCCCTGCAGCTGTTCTCTGGTCCAGCAAGTTTTCATCACCAGGTTGCGACTTGTTAGGTGTCATTCCTTGCGAAGTTCCTTGTTAGTATGTGTGAAACATAGGGAATGAACTGATTATATTTTTGTGAACTTTTTGTAGGGCAGTATTTCGGGTAAGTTGGTGGTGGTTTTAGGTATGTGTTCTTAGAATTTGAAAAGGATGGGATGCCTCACATTAAAAAAATCAACTTGGCGTTCAGATTTGAACTGAGTAATCTGCCAGCCGAAGTGGCTTGCTGTGGAGTAGATGCTCTAAAATCAGAAGAGATGTGTTTAAAATGTAATTTTAAAGGAAAGTGATAAAAGTGAAAAAAGAAACAAAACAACCACGGAGCTATGATCGTATGTCTGAGAATAAATTTTACATGCTTGTACAGAATTATGGAAAGGAGACCTTTCAAAGGGAGCTTGTAGGTCTAGACACTTTCCCAGATCCATGTTACAAATAAAGAAGGAAGCCCAGAGAATGGACTGGATATGCTCAAGGTTACATAGTCTTTTGATTCTTAGTTTATTGGCGACCTTTTCTCTTTTAACAAGTTGCTTCTATTACTGAATTTTAGAGAAATTATTTTGAAAGTTTTATTATAGAGTCACATTAAGACGACAGTTTTGTCTTCATACTACTGGAAATTTATATATTCTATATCCTTTCTTTTTACCTTTTCCAAACTTCTGAATGCTTTTTTCCTCAGGTACCTTCTTATTCTGTGGAAACATTGTTTCTGATTATATTTTTATGTACAAAAGTCTATTTCTGACTTTTGTATTCATATTGAGAGAGTCATCTCATTTTTTTTTCTTTTTTCTTCTCACTCACCCACCCCCTCATTTTTTATTTATTCAAAAGTTCTTAATTTTGAAAGGTCAGAAAATAATGTATTTTAAACTAATATTGTAACATCTGTTTGCTATGTTGTTATGAGTAAGTCACGTATAAGTCAGTCACACATAAAGCTTCTTTGCTTTTTTTTCCACATTGTTATGGATCATGGTTGTTAGATAAAATATAACAGAAAAGGTTAGGAATTTAAAAAAAACTCTGCTTAAGCAGCAGTCTGTCCTATCTCTTCCTTATCACCTGCATTTCCTTCAGTGAAATGGGTCTATTCTAAAATGATATATTTAGAACTATAACAGTGAGGAGAGTATCTTCCTACTTTTTAAAGTTGGTTAGACTGGAATATAAGCAAATAGTTGGTTTTCAATAAATATTTGTTGACAGAAATGGGATGAGAACGTTTATTAAGCTGGATTTTTGGGTTGTCTCATAGGTGTCGCAGTTATGATAAGGCAAAACATTTCACTCCCAGTTAACTTTTCTACATCTTTTCTGTATAAAGGTGTCCCTTGGTATCCTCTGGGGAATGGTTCCAGGACACCCCTACACCCCCTCACTCCACCCCCTGCAATACCAAAATTCGAGCATGCTCAAGTCTCTTATATACAATGGGGTAGTATTTGTATATAACCTATGCGCATCTGCCTGTATACTTTAAATCATCTCCAGATTACTTATAATGCCTAGTACAATGTAAGTGATATGTAAATAGTTATTACACTATATTTATTGTTTAGGGAATAATGACAAGAAAAAAGTCTGTGTATTTTCAGTACAGATGCAACTATGGTCAGCCTAACTATATACATAGTACATGTCAGCAACAATGTAACATTTTCTGGATTCTCCCCCATACCAATATTTTCCTTTTTTTTTTTT